CGAATTGTGATTCTTTTCAAATGCAAATTTGAACCTATTAAGAGTTTCGTCTTGAAGAGGCCATTGTTTCTTCACTGACTGTTCCTTGTTTCTCAATTTTTATTTTCGCTACCATATTAGGAGCTGCAGCAGGTACGGCGAAGGGTCTAAGTTTTCCCCAAATCATTCTAGCTCGAGCGATTTGGCTAAAAGGTGTGGCAGTGCTACTTCTTCCATATATGCCAGGTGCATCATTAAATATGGTTTTATGACGTTGGTAAAGAGGCCATCTGATCATGGAACCTCTGGCGTGGTTACGAGGTTGTATTGTATTATATTGATCCACAATCTTGTATTTATTTCCTGTTACTTAACAACACGCGGGATGTTTAGTTTTAGAGAACCTGGTCAAGCGAACATCGTAACGGTTTAATTTATGCTTTTCTCATTAATAGGTTCATTTCGTTCTCTAGCGTGTGTTTTAGAACTCAAGACATTAGATGTGGAAACTTGAAAGCTTTCAAGATGTCGTTTTGCTAACCCGTCGATAGATGATTGTCCAAGTCGTACTGAAGTCTGTGCATAATGTTGCACTCAGCTCTACAGGAAACATGCATTTTTAATCATCGTTTGATCATTTATCTGTGCCCAACTTAAAGGGAGCCTAATTAAGATGGTAAATTTAAAAAATACCTTAGTCGCATTAAACCTTAAAGAGATATGCCTTAATATTCGTGCCTTCGAAATCTTATGGACAATGTCTCATTGACTCCTACAGTGAATATCCTTTCCTTGCAGTAGTTGCTACTCGCAAGGGCATTTTTTCACGTTTCGTTCACCAGCTGTATTTCCATCGATGGAGACTTGTAACTTTATGCTGATGCATGTCCGAGTGTCACAAAAATAAAGCGAATGAAGTAAAGAATCTGTTGAACCGTTCCTACTAGAGTCTGTTTTGGATCGCAGGTGCTGCTTGTGAACGCATCACAGACCCAGTCATACTTTGGTTACCATCACTAGTGCTGTGGAAATTATTGCTGTTAGAATTGTCACCATCAGTTTAACTTCTAATTTGACTAACTTAGCTCTTTCTGCTACATTAACAAACAGTATTGAAGTAACCCTTAAAAATACCTTGCACTTTATGCCAAAATTTTTAAATATTCTGATTTTGCTATCGTTTTTGTCCTTATAATTTTATACGTTAACTCTAATGATTGAACATGCCTGTTTTAGGGAAGTGATGAAAATTATATTTCCCTTGCCAACAGTGACCTTGTTAAAGTAGTCAATGGTCAACCGAAAAAAGCAGTGTGTGAAACCATTGAGGTTTACTGCATGAATTCAGTCTTCTGGATGACGTTGTATAGCCAAGTGTTGTTATTTAGGAGAAGCCCTTGAAGCTACCGAAAACTGCTTCTTCTGAACTGGTGATAACGTTCGACAGAATGAATATCAACTTTATCCACGACCTGTTAGACAGCTCCTTCAGTTCAGACAGCCAAAAGTTTTGGTCCGCAACAGACAATTGTTTTCATGGAACTCTACCGGAAAAATATGCCGTTTTCCATGACCGGATAGGTAACGTATTCTAGTCATGACTGTTGATGAGTACGAAATGAAATGTTGTTTTCTTCAGATTCTAACGGAACGCCTGTTCGTTGTCAGTTTGAAGACCTGAATCCATCAGCTCAAAATAAAGTCAGAATCACTGATTATTTGATATTTTGCATTTCATACATCAAAGCAAAACTGAGATTCGCTGTGTTTGAAATAGTTATGAAGAATTCACAGGTGTAGCTGAAAATGACTTCTTTTCAATGATTGTGCAGGAGTAATATTGCTAATAGTCTTTTGAAACGTACTTCCATACACTGGGGTGCTAAAATGCCGTTGAACCTTAAGCGATCCTCTGAGCTACTAGGATCAGTGGAGAAGTGCTAGGAAAATACACTTTTCTGCTCATTATCTTCCTAACGTGAACACACTAAGACTTAAAATCCAAACCAATCATCATACTGATGAGCCTTTTTCGATCCCTCCTAGAAGAAATGCTCTCCATGATTTCGCAACAAAATTTTGCCATCTTCGATTCTTATCCACCTAGCTCCCACAAAGTTCTTCAGCTGTCTCCACCATCGAACTGTAAGTCTTCTCAGGGGCCATTTACTGTCCTTTGCAACCTAATCTAATATCTTTTTATTTTAATCTAATATCTTACCTCAGACTTTTCCTAGATTAAAGTGTGATCTGCCCGAGCTTTGCAACACGTTGTAATTGTAACCCTTAGGTTTTCTTCTAGGTTTAGTGTGAATCTCCATGTCTTCTTACAAGATATCCTATGGGCATGGGAAGAATTCGTGTTTGCTACAATAAGTTATTTTAAGTGCATAAAAGAATTTCTGCACCTTCAAGGGTTTGCGAAAAATATACTGAAATATGTTTCCGTTGAGCATAATATGCCATTCCCTCGCTGCTGTCGGCCTCTTTTCTGAGAGTTGAGAACGCGCCTTATGGAAAGTATAGTACACTACTGAGTAAATTCTAGGAAAGAATTTTGTTAAACTAAATTCTTCATCAGTTACAGTACCACAATATGAGAGCGAAACCCTCATTAGCAGGTGAATGCAGCATGTGGTATTGTTCAAGCGCAGAGAAGCCTACTCTACGGAATGATGAAAGTCTCACTGTAACTGTCAGCAGCCATAGGATTGTTAGATCGAGGTCATTGTGCAAACGCCGTAGTGGGAAATTTTTACATAAGTTAAATGCTTTCCTTACAATTCACGAAACAAAGACAAGTTATCATTGTAATCCAAGCTTGATTAGACCTCATTATAACTCCGTTTCGATATTTGCCAATGATATTCATAGCTAAATGCTTTTGTTGTTTATAGTTATTGCAATGACCTTCGAAATGTTAGCTTGTTTGTTTACGATACGATGCAACAGTGGAACAGACCCAGCAGTGCTAGAAGCAAACCTGTCATTTATTATGAACTGTAGCGTGTCACTTTATGAATTATGGTTTATTCAATTGTATCATTTCTGAGAACGCAAGCCGTTCACAGTTTATCCTGCCAAATATGATTTTGAACGTAAATATTTGTATCAGCTGTTTAACAGTTTGTCGTGAAGTAGTGCCTTCGCGGCGTTTTATTGTTTTTTTTAATTATATTTTTCAGAGTTAGTGAATAAGGAAGCACCTTACGTTTTCCTTAGCGAAATGCTATGAAATTATAGATGCATTTATTTGAGCCTCATTTGTCGTTATGATGGCAATGAACGTCATGCAGAGGATGAAACCCTGTGTTTACTGATAAACTGTATTGCTGAAAGTTTTCATTGATGGTTGTGCATGCGTTCATTGCTTGGTTTTCTTGAGTAATACATGTAAAATATTGTATAAACGACTCCTTTGTATATTGTTCAGTACAAACTCATATAGAAATTCAAAATGAGATGTAACTCTTGATGAAATCTGGTTCACTCACTCTGACACGGTGTCACTTGCTATGAGTTATTAGGCCCCCTCAGGTGGCCATTCCAACGATTGAAAAATCCAGAACAGAATGTAAATTAAAAGGTGTTGTTATATCTGCGCAGGTTGTATCTGTTTTGGGACAAATGAGGAAATAAATAAATCTGTATTCTTTCTGGTTCTTACCGAATTGTTTTGCATTTCGATTTTATCGTTACATCGTTGAGATGCAGCACGTATGAAGACGTTGATAAGTGTGAGTACGATTTTATTAGACGTATTACCGACCCTTTGAGCCACACTTCGTTCACTGTCAAACTACAGTAGAAATCTTCCCTCAATCACGTTTCGTAACAACTGATGAAAGGCAAAGTGACAAAGTTCAAGACCGTCGCTGAATGAACGCAATTAATCGTCAAATTACTCTGTAGCTATTATCGCTAGGAGGCGCGCGTAATCATCAAGGAACCGCTGCGCCAATCAGAAGAATTTACCCGGGCCACCACCTTGTGGATGGCTTCTGTTATTGGGGAAATTGTGCCACACATGACTTGCAAAATCAACGTGCTCTTCAGATAATTGGTCAGACGTTGCGATAGAAAAGGCGGACGAACGTCACCTGTAGCTTAATGTATTTCAGCAGGGAACAATGCGTGGTGATGTAAATTTCGTGGCATGACCGAATAACGTGTTTGCTCGACCGCATAGTGTCTCCCATAGTACAAAATTCGCTGCGGCAGCGATTTTACTGGCGCTTTGCGTCGAGGAGTTGCCTGTGGCAATGTAGATGGAAATTCTCTCTCCGGTTGGTATTGGATGGCAACAGAATCCTGTGCCAACCCCATGCAGCAGCACAGTATCACGTTTGACTGACCATTTTTTATATTGGGTTTTGTTATGATAGAGTATTGCTTCAGACGTATGAAGAGCGTTTTATAAGGAGGTCTGCATATATCATTAGATTAAGCAACATGGTAATGCGGTGGAACTTAACTGATGACAGCATACTAAGAGGATTTTATAACTGATCCCTGAAATAGCATATGCAAATTCTTTAACTATAAGAGAAATACTTTTCTCGACGCATTAATGTCAAGACAAAAAAGCTTGTATATGTCTCTTAATCCCTAACCGGCACGTAACGCAGTTGGAAATCTAGCAGGAACTTGACATCTTACAAAAATGCCACATATGGCTCTTGCACAATTTTTTAGGATCCTTCGAGTGTGTGCCTTCCTCACAAAGTCAAATGTTTCAAAAAAAGACGTGCATTACAATAATGTACTTTATGGTCATTCATCTTGCGACGTTCTGAGATAAAAACTGAGAGTCTTCTAGACAGTAGAGTCTGGAGACAAAATAGCCCTGACGTTTCGAAACAGTAAACACATAGTGACTTTCCAATTCCGCCGATAATTATAATATTGCAATTTTTGATACCAAATTTACTCGGCGTAATTGCTCTGATTTTTTGCTTTTAGTCATATGAGGATAATATTTGAGTAAATCATGATTCCATGGTAATCTAATGCATGCGGGGCATTGGATGCAATTGTAGCAAATTCTGTTTCGAAGAATTCACTGATCGAACCTCAAAGTGTTAATATTATCATAATTCTTCCGCATCCATCACAGATGACGAAAGTCACTGAGAACCAGATAGTACAATATAGGAGTATAGCCTTTATCGACAAACTGGGTGAGAACTAGACGAGTTGCTTGAGAAGATTTCTAGCATCTCGAACCGGACTTAAATAGGTGTTGATAGCCACAAAAACATCTTCGAATTTTGGATCTTTTTAATCATAAATACCCAGCAACAAAGGAGATATTTTTAGAAAAGGTAAACGGTTGAAAAAAGAGGAGGCGCAATTAACGTAGAAGAGACCTTTATCCTTAGGTCTGTGTATCATATAAATGAGTCTGAAGAAAGAGCAACAACCGCAACAACAGTAAGGAGCTGTGCAGACGATTCTACAGCAATTAACATTGAATAAACATTAACACTCTTGCTTGTGCAGAGAAAATAACGCGCACTGACCTGAATTTGCTCTAAACGTTGCACAGTCGTCATCATCAAAGAATTTTCCACTTACTGCTATATGAAGGCTTCTTCTAGATTTTGCCACAGATTGAGTCTTCTGCGATTTTCGTCCAAGTCTCATAGCTGTATCATCAAGGCTTTGGTGTATATATGTTTGAACCTAAGTCCATTGACTTCAAAGGTCCGGGCTATCGTGTTTGCGCAACAGCAGCAAATTCTTCTTCCAGTTCAATCGCAGTTCCACTTTGGCTTTTGCGCCGTTCAACAGCTGTATTTCTTTCTGTAGTTTTCTGGAGTCCTTAAGAGGATAGACCAAATATCATAATCAAACCCATAGTGGTTTATGTCGTTTTCATTAAACTTAAGCTCCTAATTTTTTCCTAATTATCGTGAAACTTTCTTTTGAAGTTGTTTTGGACAGATGGCCGACATTATTAACATTGTTGAACGCCTATATTTTGAATTTGTATATTATAAGCATTATATTAATATCGTAAATTATGGCAATCAGGTCTATGGATCTTGTCTTTTCTGGATTTTCCGACTTCTCAGATCACCTAAAATCAGAATAAACTGAGTCGAAGGTTCTCATGAAACTGTTGGACATCAGGCGGAAGGAACGCTGATTTTTGATCCTTGTTTGAATTATTACTTATTGCATCTGAAAAGCTTTATCGAATAAATTAACTTTGGTTGTGCAGAGTAATTATCCTTTTGAATTTCATCGTCAATACCTTCGTGAAAAACCTGTTGATTGGCTTGCAGTAATCCAGATCCTCGTTGACTCCCTTTTGTATTGCAGAATCGCTGATGTGGTAGCCAAGCCATCTGAAATTCTCATTTACTTCAAACAGGAGCGAATATCCCCATCATCAGTTAGCCTACTCATTTCAACCGCTCTACTGCCGTTTCCGGCAGAAGCCCTTCCTATGCTTTTCCGTCTTATTGCGCATCGCAATTCTTCTGGCAAGATATCTGAAATTTCGTCTAATTCATGATTTCTTCCAGGTTCTCTTACTTACTTACAGTATTTCAATTATTATCTTTCCAAAGATGTCGATATTCTATTCCGTTCATGATCACTTTTCTCTCTACTGAACACTTTACTGTTGAAGAACACCCTGTCTTTTGTTTTGACAGCTAAAATTTGTCGTATCCCTAATCAAAGTCTTTAGTTTAATCTTTTCATGCTTTGTTTGTCTTCAACTGTTTCTTTTGCAAATCTGTCGCTCTGTTATTGAATCCTCTAATGAATGCGCAGATGCAGGAGAAGAACATGAGTCTGCCAGTCATGAAATTCAGTCGTCACTGAGCGACATCAGATATATGAGTTCAGTGGTCAATTCAAAATTGGAATTGGCAGCTTACATCATGGCTGGTTCATAAAAACTGGCAATACAACATATTTTGCAGTCTGATAAACGTCGAGATACCAAGAAGAGTTGCGCAAAGATCTGTCGATGCGTCCTGTTTTGTGCCCAATAGTGCAGGTGTTCAGTTCTCTTTCAAGGCATGAACAGAAATGACTTCAGCCTCATGCGCTGGACGCTGTCTTGAGGTCCGGGTCAACGTGATAGTTATCACAACTCTGTCAAAGATCTTTGGCTATCAAAAGGGCGCTAAACCTGTCCGTAAAGAATCTATACTATAGCAGTTATCCATCGAACGCAACTCTTTTTCAGTTAGATGTCTATCTCTAAGCTCTGGCACAGAATCAAAATTTCGTAACATCCGCTCAGACAGAACTTCACAGAAAATTTGTCCTTTCATTCCTGGTGGGCTGCTTGGCCATCCACAGAGACGAACGTTTCACCAAACTAGCTGCTGACTATTTGCTTAGACTTAGCTATGCATTGAAACCATAACATTTAATTCAGCTCAATTATCAAAGTGAATTTAATTCCTCGTCCACCATATCAATCGAAAGGACATTGTGTATGTTTAAGTAATTCGCGATTATAGAATGGCATAAAGCTAGAATACGCAGGTAGTGTTTTTCTTTGCCATAATCCGACTTGACTTCGAATCTGCTCGAGAACGTGGCAAACGCATAAACGTCGGTTGCGTCTTTGTGAACTTTTCGAACGAAGTCTATCGCAGTGATGATTTATATTAACCGCTAAGGAATTGCCAGAGTTCATGTTTAAATACTTCGATAAAGATCCCTGCATTTCTACTGCGTTTGAGCATATCCCGAATGGAAAATGAAATACATCGACGAGGTACTAAGGAGGTACGAGAAACGGCGTTGGACGAGTGACAATGACAGGCAAAAAGCGGTGACGACGATAAAACTGACTAGGGCAGTGTGTTGGACGATTTCCAACGCTGATCAGCCGATTTCTGTCGCATCACTGTCGCCAGCAAATTTTCATCGATCCTGATCTGCCGTGAGGCTAGCGCTGAAAAAGTTGCTGATTCGTGACTTCGGCCGATTTTCTGCGGAGAGGGACGAGTTATGATGCCTTCTACTGACTTCGCTGCATATCCCTTGATTGGCGAAAGAAATACATCGACGAGGCACTAATGAGGTACGAGAAACGGCACTGGACGAGTGCCAGCATTGGTAATTGAAACCTTGTCCATGAACGTCTTCGGGAAGCTGTTCGAATGAGAAACTGGAGAAATGAATTTGGAATTGCATGAGATGCAATGCTTGGATCTGCCGCTTTTCGGTAAGAAATTGCATGAATTTTATGCGCAGTATTAC